CAAAATATTTGCCGGAAATAATAATATTTAATACGCATATGGCTCGTTTCGCTAATTACAGATAATCGAAAATCTGTAATAAGCGAAACAAGGGTCTGACACGTACAATACTCACAACTGTATATTTACCTTTCAGTCGTGTATTTAAAACACCATGAAACATTTATCGAAAATAACGGGATTTTAATTAGTGACTAGTTCGTTTCGCTAATTATAGATAATTGTTTTATAAAGTTTTATACACGACTGAAAAGTAAAAATACTGCGCAAGCTTCGTCCGATAGTTGTGATTATTGTACCTGTTTCGCCATGTGATTGCAAATTTCCGATTATCTATAATTAGCGAAACGAACCGTTTACTAATTAAAATCCCATTGTTTTCGGTAAATGTTTTAGGGTGTTAAATACACGACTGAAAGGTAAATATACTGGTTGAATTGTGAGAGTTTCTTTTTTTATATTTTCTTTAAGTTTTAAAAAGTTTCATATTTCGTACTTCCTTTAAGTTTTAAATTCCCTTTTTGTTCATTTATATAGTATGTGCTTTTTCCAATAATTTTATTGCAGCTCCTAATTACTAGTTAGTGAGCCCCTGATGTAAAAGGGTAGCAACAAATAAATAAATAAAAATACTGGTCAAGTTTCGTCTCCGGCGATAGTTTATTGCTTATTATTTTCAGCAAATATTTTGTTAATATTGTGCGTATTAAACCCATTTTCACTGAATACAGTTTAATTTTTAATATGTGTGTTATCCCGTTTCGTTTCGTTCCGTTTTTTTTCTTTCTTCGATTAAAATAAGCCTCCATATGCTCGTGTTGGAAGTGGCGGGAAAGTCCCGGTGGGGGGAGTTCAGGCGGACGTTTGCGGCCTGGTCGGAGCTATGGGCCCGCCGTTTCGGGGCCTGGGGCGGTGTATTGGAGTGGTTTTTGCCTACAGCGGGCGCAGCAACCCTGTGAGTTTATTTCTGGGGCCAGGGGCGGATCTAGGATTCTGGAATAGGGGGGGGGGGATAAATTGGCCGAAGACCAAGTTCGCGAGCGCCGATGGCGCGAAGTCCCCTCTAAATCCGACAATAGGGGCCTATTGCAGACATTAACATTTTAAAGGGGGCCTATTTGCTTCCCGCGCGGGCCCGCTTTAGAAGGTGAAAAACACCCCGATTTCTCGCTAAATTTGGAACGCACATGGGGTAGTAACAGCATGTAAAGTGACCCCCGGGGTTTTTCTGAACTGGCAGGTCAATCAATGTCTAAAAGTAGTTCCAGTCAGTACACATTTGTTTACACATTGTTATGTGACATAAGATAACAATCTTTACAACTAATTAAATAAGACTAATGTTTTGACCATAAACTGATAACCAAGTGAGGAAGTGAAGTTACACTGTTTTAATGGGCTATTCACGTAATGTTGAGCTATAATATTATATGAATACGGATATTATATTATATTGAACTTTATTAATCTAAGCACATCTACCCAATTAATGAATTATTTCTAAACACTTAGAATTTTTATCCTACAGTTCGATGTGGACAACTTTTAAAAACATTGGAAAAAATCATCATGGCACGGAAACTCCTATTGTCTTTTGTTAAACTCTGTACAGTCGCCATTTTCCTTTCGTGGATTCAGGGTGAGTGTTCATAAACGCTATTTGCACGTTGTTGATAATAAAGATAATATTCGAAACGCCATATACGTTATATAATTAATTTTCAGAAGTTATTTGATATAAAAAATATAATCTGTTGTATAGTTTGCACTTTAAAGATGTTAGAGTAAGCTGCCAAGTGACTACAGAACCAACTGAAACTACAGAACCAAATGTATCTACGGAATCTATGGTAACTACAGAACCAAATGTAACTACAGAATCAATGGTTACTACAGGACCAAATGTGACTACAGAACACAGTGCAACTACTAAACCCAATGCAACTACAGAACCAACTGTAACTACAGAACCCGGTGTAACTACACAGCCCAATGTAACTACACAACCCAATGAAATCACAGAACATATTGCAACTACAAAACCCGATGTAACTACGGAGCCCATGGAAACTACAGAACCCGTGGTAACTACAGAACCAAATGTAACTACAGAATCAATGGTTACTTCAGGACCAATTGTGACTACAGAACCCAGTGCAACTACTAAACCCAATGCAACTACAGAACCAACTCTAACTACAGAACCCGGTGTAACTACACAGCCCAATGTAACTGCGGAACCCATGGTAACTACAGAACCCATGATTACTACAGAACCCAATGTAACTACAGAACCAATGGCAAATACAGAACCCATTATTACTACAGAACCAAATATAACTACACAACCCAATGTAACTACACAACCCAATGAAATTACAGAACCTACTATAACTAAAAAACCGATGTAACAACAAAACCCACGATAACCACAGAACCCAATGTAACTACAGAACTCAGTGTAACTACAGAACCAATGATAACGACAGAACCAAATGTAACTACAGAACCCAGTGTAACTCCAGAACCAATGATAACGACAGAACCAAATGTAACTACACAACCCAGTGTAACTACAGGACCAAGTATAACTACAGAACGCAGTGTAACTACATAAC